ATATATATATATATATGCGCGAATATTTTGTTTAGCTTAACATTGCTACGCTTGTATTTGATGTATACTAACTTATAATAATTTCCATGATAAAACAGTTTGAATTTTAGAAAAATTTTACACAAGATCTCACCTGTATTGATCATTAATATTTAAAAGTTGATACAACTTGTTTTTCACTTTATGTGATCTGGTTAGAAAATAATGAACGACACATGTTTCTAGAAGCATGTCACTGGCAATGGACGCACGTTTGGAATATGGAGTTGAAATGGGCGTAGAAATATCACTGAGGATACTTGCTACGTTTGGTATATACAATCTACCACACAGCATAAATGCGACAATACACGTTAGTAATAAAAATAGAAATATATATTATTGAATGATTTTTATTGATATATTGTATTGGCTAGATTCGGGGAGACGCTATTAGCGCTATTTGTTTCATTTTATCTTCGTCGTCCATTAGACGTGAGACAAGTACGTACCACACAAATGGCGCTAATAGCGCGCTGCCCGAATGCAGCCATTGTTTGTCTTGTCCATGTTAAAACAATTAGGATATTACTAAATATGTTATAGATGTTTTCAAAACTTTTCTTAGTAGGGAAGAGAGATGGATAATTATTGTTTGTTAAAAAATAATAGTTGCAAAAACATGCCATAATGCGAATCAAATTTTATATTATAGGTACCAACAGAAGCAAATCGTTGTTGTCAACAACCGTTTTTACGTACCGAAACCAACGATAGAAATCAAGAAACTGGGAACTTTTCTGACCCTACACCTTCTAATCTATCAATGTTAACAAGATGTTTTGAAAAGATGTTCACAGACTTATATCTACGAGTAAGTTATTTATTATTAAAATAAAATACACACACACATAGTTGTGATATATTATTGGATCAAAACAAACTTTTTTTTATTATTTTAAATAACATTACTGATTAGACTATTTTCTTGCCTTGAAACAAATCGAAACTTTATTTTTAAATGAAAAAATTATATTAGAATGATATTTTGACTAACACAATTTATCTTTGAATTATATAATTTATTGAACTTTATATGAGAAAATAGAGTTATACATTTATGCTATTTCACATTGAAATCATTTTATAACAAGCATATAAACGATTATGTAGATTTAGTTTTATTCTCAGATATAAATACTTTGTATTAAATTTTAGTTTCCTTTAATACATTATTTATATAATGCATACATCTATGTTTCTGTATAACAGAATAACGGTACAAACTTGGAACTTGTACTTCAACTTTGGTTTGCACTGAATATGGACGCTGCTACTGAACATCCAGGCTCGCAGTTTGAGCCTTCTTTAACACCTTTGATTCCACTCAGTCCAGCAGCTATTGCTAGCTTAATATCTGCACTTTCATGGTAAATTAATGAATAAGTATATTGGCGATGATATGTGTGTAATATGTAGTAACATTTAATCTATTTCAAAATGTGATATTGATATTTTAAATGTATATTTAATTTGTATTATAAATTTTAGGCACACTGAGGTTTCTTTACGCGCTTGGTGTCTTGCGTTGCAATGTTTAACTATCGTCTGCAATCAGTCGTTGCGAAGATATTCTGGCTTAGATGGCTTTGCACCTAGTAGTCCTGCTATGGCTAGTTGTATTGTTAAAGAACGTAATACAGGTCCTATGTTGTTGCGCCTACTTTCCGGTAACGGATTAAATATTAATGCAATGGATAAGCAATACATCATGGTGAGTATATTTTTTCATTTTATTATAAATTTGATGACATGTTTGTCGACAAGACTGATCAAGAATCAGAATTCTTTAGAAATTGCATGTAAGATTTCATGTAATATGTTGAAATGTACAGCTATAAAATAAGAGTTTATAAAGAAATAAAATTAAATAAAATGCAGATCATTGCAGCAATATATTTTACTTATTTTCTTTTAATTTATCAAGTTTATAAAATCATATACCTCGACTAAACAATTTATCACTAAAGAATATGGTAGAAGCAAGAATTCTATATACATTTAATAAATGTATTACTTAAATGTGATTTCTATAATAACTTATATATGAGCTTATCAAGCAACTCATATCAAAATAAATTAATATTTAGTTATACATTTTTCTTATTTATGATAATATTTCTATTTCAGGCTGGACCTACAGTTTGCCAAGCATTACACGATTTTCTCGTTAGGCTGGAAATGATGTGTGATGTCATTACGACGGATAGCTGTTTAGGTAATTCTCTAAAGGATCTTCTACTGAAAGTGATATATCAACTTGTGCAGCCAAGCGGACCTCTCATTTTAAGGAAGGGGCCTTTAGATGCGCAGTGCAAGCTAATAACGTCCGTAGTTAATCTGAATTATGTCAATACCGACTTGGGTATTGCTATGAGTATATCGGAATGTGTTGGTGTGTTGGTTTCGACATACGTCAAAGGATCCGAAGGTAAAATTTTTATTTCTTTATCAAATATTTTTAAAAGTAAAGTTAATAATAAAGATTTCGATGTGAGAAGACTTTAGTAGAAAAAAAATTAAATAGTCTTACACTATCAATCTATAGTATTAAAAAATTAATCGTTAACAAGAGGCCTGTTCTTTTTGGCTGAACTTTTGCACCAGTTCGTTTTTTTCCTTTTTCTGGAAAAAATTCAGTCAAAAAGAACAGACCTAAAGTTATATATTTTTAATAGGTAGCTTGGTATTGGACAATTGCTTTTTGTTTTAGATATATTAAAAATTGTTTATTAAGATTTTTTTTATTTTAATATAAAATTGTTTAAAAATGATTATAAGTATGATTGTTAATTATTTTTTGGGTGCATTTAATATACATAATGAGTGAGCGTTCAATAATGGTTGCCTGTTATTGGAATAGATCTCATCTACGGTAAATCTAAAAGAATATATCAATAGCAGCGAACGCTCATTCAACTATGTCCACTAAAGGCACCCTTTATCTTTGTAAAAAGATTGCAAGAATCTCAATATTGTTCTAATAGTTGGCGCACAATGTGGAGGTGCAGTTGATTCAAACAATCAGTCCAGTAGTTTTGGTGGTTTATTTGCTTGCGTGCTCGGAGGTGATGCGAGACAATGTCGCCCCGCATCGTGGGACACTTTAATTGTGGCTCTCATCAAATTAGTATGCACACTCATTCAAACTCCATTACCGAATGTACGTATTTTACATTCAAAAGTTATCAAAGGAAGAAATTATTATTTATATTACAAAAGTTAATTTTTTTATAACATAAAAATAATGATTGTGTTTTCTATTTTAGACTCATCAAGATCCTTCGGAGGAATCGGCGGAAATGGAATTGTCTGATACGATTTGGAGTTCTAGAAGCAACACAAGCGATTCTCAGAATGCGAATACTTGGCAAACGGATGAGAGTAAAGTGGCAGAGCAACGAAACTCTTTTCACTTACAACAACCTAAAACTAGCAAATCTTCCGTGCCTTGCTTGGCTGATACTGGTAATTACTAATTATATAAGAGACTTTGTATTTTATAAATGTATATTTATTCTCTATGCTAAAGTACGCTAAGTTTTAATTAAATCTTCATTTTTAAGTTTTGCAGCACGAACCAACTATGATGCGTTTATTAGGTGCTCTCGGTCATAGCACAGGATCCTCGTTAGCTATGCTCTTAGGTGAAAGTGCGAGTGCAGCCTCAACTACCGAGCTCGGCGATCCGGCTTCAATAGCGGATGCAACGTTCCAGCTCCTTACGACTCTTACGAAAAAGGCTAGCGATCCAACTCTAGTTCTCAAGCCACTTTATCATTATCTCTCTTCGTGTAAGAATTTATACATTATAGAATCGAGAGATTTATTATTAATTATAATAATTTTGCGCGAAAAAAATATAGCATAGAATCTTTTTATATAAAGCTTTGATTTCGAGAAAATAAAATAATTATTACACGATTATTTGCAGCATGCGGTGAAACCGAATTGGGAGTTATGCAGCTATCCGAACCTCTTCTTTGGTACATCCTAAGAGTGTTGGACAACGCATCGTCATTATCTATTTTTACCGCGATGGGTGGTGTAAAAGTACTTTGCGAAAATCTCGTGAAGTCAAGTAACAGCGGTACCGCTGGTGCTTCCGCTTCGTCAGGAGTGATCGCCCTTGTCATGGAACATTTGTCCAATGCGCCGAATGTGATGCAAATGATGGCGAGCAGCAGCAAGAAAGGCGTCAGCTCATTAGAAACTCACGACGACGGTTTACTGAATTTCGCTCCTCTTGGCACAATATCATGGTTGAATCCAACTGCACAGCCAGCGGATGTTCTCATACAGAACGCTACGCCTCATAAACGTGCGAGAACACCGGCGTGGTCGTATCATTTTTATCCCGACGAGGCGTGGGTTGATCTCACCATCACTTTACCATGCGCTATCCTGCTTAGGAAAGTGGAGCTACAACCACATCTTACGGCGTTATCCAGTAAGTTTATTGTGTCCCAATTCATATGCAAAAGTTGACGAAATTTTCAAGGTTTCATGTTATACACTTTTATTTGTATTTCTACATTAGTATTTTTTTCTTTTTATATATTCGTCTTATCTGGATGTTAATACTGAGAAAGCTTATCACTAAATTAGTGAGAACCTCACTAATTTCTAATATTTCTGTACAACAATACACAGGATATTCTTCTAAACGCATTTCCTTCAAATTGCCTATTTTTTCCAAATTAAAAAAAAAATTATTCAAAGTTTAGAAAAAAATTTCACACACGCACACGCACACACACACAAACCAAAAGAAATGCGATTAATAAGAGACAATTCTTGTAATTAAACACAACTTTTTTCTAACGTACGCATATTTGTCTGACAGCGTGTCCGTCGGCTGTAGCGCTGGAAGTTTCGAGGGAGAGTAATGGTCCACTGACGCCGGTTTGTCCACCGATGCCAACAGCAGGCTTAACATACATACGCGTTACTTTATCACAGCCAGAAGTCGCGACTTCCGTATTGGTGCGTCTATACAAACCGCGGGACTCGACAAACATAAATCTCAGTCAAATAAGATTACTGGGCACCACTGCGTTTGGCGAGATTAAAACGAATCCGGACACAATAGATGAAGAACAGCTAACGAAGACTAGGTAACATTATTTTCTCTCTCTTATTTCAGAAGTGATGCTATTAATCGTTATGGGGGTTAAAGATTTATCACGGCTATGAGAATTTAAGAAATTTATTTCTGATAACGTTTATGTAGCTTGGGTTGGCTGAGATTATTGCATCAGTGCTTATCGGTAAGCATACTGAACAGTAATCTAGCCGTCGAGGTGCTTAATTCCGCGGCTTCGGTCGAAGGCCTGGTCGAGGCATGCTGCAATCTCCTGTTACTCCCAGCACCGTCTCTTTTTACTCCCAACTTGGAGAGGGTTCTATTACAACTTGGCTTACACTCTCGAGAGCTTGGACTTCGTCTCATTGGTCTTTTACTCAACAACAGGTCTACTTCTTTCTTTCAAGGTATCGCTTTATTTTCCGTTTTCTGCAAATAAAATCAATGGTCTTAAATATAGATGAAGCGACTGCATTAAGCTTTTTATTTTGAAGATGTTCGCGTTTCAAATAATTCAGTTAAACTCTTCACACAAATATAACATTACGAACTAAGAAAAGATAATTCTTTTTAAAATCAATATTAATAGTAAGGAAAAGTAAATGAGAGCACCATCACAGTTAATAGCGTATATACAAATTTAATAATATTTTCAAGTCTAATTCACACTCCATGTGTAGAACTATATTACAATTCTTATTCTCAATATTCTCAATCGGACGTTGCGGCTTTATTTTAGGCCATCTTCAGCGAATAACACATTAGATAAAATTACTAGAGCACTCTTGTTAATCATATGTAATTACACTTTTCAACATTGTGAATGTCCCTTCTAATAGTTATATTGTTGAGATCGATTCAGTCAAAAATGTGTTAACGTTTAATATCAATAAGTGAAAGATAAGTCAAATTTAATAGATAATTGTTAAACAATCAGTCCACGTCAAACTATACAAAGCAATTCTTTTTTTATTTATTTAGAGGTGTGTAATAAATTATTTATGTGATAAATATATAATAAATATAAATTAGAGAATAAATAATTTTTTAATATTTACAAGTAAAATTGATAATATTTGCTAGTTTATTCAGTACTTTCTATAAAAATTTATACCATTTTGAAATCTATATATAATAAAGATTAATTTTATTAGTATTGTATGTATATCTTTTAATAAAAGTATCTATTGTTTAAGATATGAATACTACTTTTTAATTAAATATTTAACAATAATCTCTCCTTTTAAGCTTACGATGATGTGACAATATATTAAAATATTTGTGTTAACATTGATAGGAGCTGTGACTTCCCAGGAAACGTCCATCGTACAGTTGGTCGTTGAATTGCTCCAGCAATTGTGTTCGATTCGAGACTTTAGCACGGAGGCTCGTATGAAAGCTGTTCTTACATGGTTGCAAATGTCGGCCGCGAATGGAATTCAGACGAAGAGTAATCCCAATTCAATAAATCCACCAGCAGTATATATTCACTGTGTATCTTCTATCATTTGGAAGGCTCATCAACAGCAGAATCACAACTATGATCTGCAAATCTTGCTGACAGATGAACTGTTCTAGTAAGACTTTAATCACATTCTCTTTTATGTTTCAAACTTTTCTATTTGAACATAAGTCGATAAATTTATTTTATTAATATATACAAATTTTATTTTGGATATCTTGGAACTTCCTTTATGATAACGAATTTGATATCATAATTATTTGAATATTATAAATATAATATATAAATTATTATATATGAGATAGTTTTAATTTAAGCTATTTTTCTTATAAAGCTATTTAACATTTGTTGCGTTAAACTTTTATAAATTAATCCTAATTTTTTTTATTAAATAGTTCATTGTACAAATGGACCTTGACTCTTGGAAACAATTCAGCCCTGAAGCAAGCGATTGATTCTGTCTTGTGCGCTTTCTGTTACGTGAGGCCATCGTTGTTGATTTTGCTTCTGGAATGGGTACAAATCTTGGTACCGAATATCGCAATGAATCCATCTACTTCTATATCTGACGATTGCAAAGAAAGCGAAGAACAGACGGATGATAAGAAGAGCGATATGAATGCCGAGGGATGGTATTGTCAGTTCATCTTGTTGAAACACAAATGGTTACATTTAACGGAGGGACAATTGTTGACTGTTGCTGCAGCTGCTCGTTCGCCACCTGGTACTCAGCAACTGATTGATTCTGATCTTCCAGCGTTACTGACAGCATCAATTACAGGTTGAACTTTTCTTTCTATGTAAAATAAAAACTTGCTTTGGATAATCTATAATTTGTGAAAAAATTCTAACAAAAAGTAAATTATATTTTGAATTATAAGTTATGTTAAATGTTTTTAAATACATTTTTTAAACAAATTTGTTCAGAATTTATTATTAACACGATAACATTTATGCATTTAGACTTCTGTAATCTGGAAAAATCTAAACAGCAACGAGATAGTAAAATGGCATCAGGCGATAGCAATGAAAATAATGTGACTGAAGATGTCAACTCGACAGATAGCGATAAAGCAGCAGGTTCGAGTTCGGGATCAAACAATTATTCTGGTAAATATTAACATCATTGTAATATTTTAAAAGCTTATTTCTAGACCCGTACGTTTAAAGACTATTTAAAGACGGGAATTATCAAGTTATATATCTGGAGACACGGTAGTGTCTCGGCGCTAAGTCAAGCGCGCGACACTGCCGTGCCTCCTTTACGCGAAACTGAGAATTTTTCGGGGTCGAGATGATCAGATCTCAGTAATGGCTGAACCGATCAAGTTCTATATACGCTCAATCGATAGCAAATACTTAAATTGTATGATAAAAGTGCTTTCATTTTTTTTCTACGTGCTCTACGAGCGGAGATATCGCGACGCAAAGTCTGGATCTGTGAATTTTCACGTTTCAATTTTTAAGAAACATCATCATTAACGTCGTCGACCAGAGAAAATGTCCATCTCGTTTTTTCGATAATAGAGGGCCTTTGACTTTATATGTTATCTCACTCTATCTATCACCTCACTCTATCTATCTACATTTAACCAACAGACTAGTGTTGCATGGTGTATCATCACATATGACGCGCGCGCGGTTTGAATCTTAATTAAGAATAAAATATTATTTCCTTTTTTCCTTCAGGTGGATTATGCATGACAAAACCAGAGAGTATAGCAATAGTGATAGAATTCCTAACACTCGTATGTGCGGAAGGCAGAATGCGTGATTGGCTTGGTCAAGAAGGTCGTGGTTTTTGGTTACCACTTTTATCGCTTCTTAGTAATCGTCCTATTGAAAGCCCATCTGCATCTGCGTCGAGGTACAAATTTATACGATCTTTAGATATATTAGAGACACAGTAGTGGCACTAATGTATGTGCAAAAATCGCGTCCTATATACTGTAGTGTCCTATGTATTGTCATCATTATCATTGATACCAAATTTGAATAGAGCTTTAATTTCCTAAACAAAAGTTATCCTATGTGGATTTTGACTTCTTTTTAATTATGTTACAATTGTAATTATCTTTTTATACAAAGGAGAGTTATAAGCTGTTTGCCTAATCTCCATTTTGGAGGACTTTCGAAAAATTTTTTAAATTTATTATTTAACATTTTTTGTTGTTTGAAGAACAATATAATTTGTTTACCCTTATTTATCTTGGAATCAAGTCCATATTTTAGATATTTTATTGCTATTATATACTGAAATATTTTTTCATTCAAAATTCCTCTTAAAGTGAAAATACATAAATGCTTTAAGAAATGATAAAAACTAGGAAAATAAGAGATTAAATAAAAGTACATTGTGAATAATATAAACTATAATATAACACTACATGAAAATTTATAAATTTAATATTTTTAAAATACAACTCACAGAATAATATAAACGGTTTTCAACTACACACAGTATCATACTATTTACGTTTATTCTTCTTGATACGATAGACATTCAACATTTCTCTATACATATATGTACTTATTACTCTATATGTATTATACTTTTTTATAGTTGTTCAAAAACAAGCGCATCATATACATTACTGGAAAGCGCTATGATCAAATTTTTATCAAGATGTTGTTGGTGTCACTTGACTAATCAAAAATTACTGGCGAAACTTCTCATCGAAGTTATTTCCCAACAACGAACTACTTCAAGTAAGTGTACTGCAATATCGAAAGAGAGAGTCGCTTGTATAATTTCAAGTTTCTCTAAGTATAATAAATAAATTGAGAGAGAAATTAGCACAATGTTGTCGGATAATATGCTGTTATAATTACAGGTGTGCGGTATCTTCACGGCATTTCTGGATTTACGCGAAGATTAATTCTACAACTACTTTTGGAAGGAGAGAAAGTATTGGTTTCTGTAACATCGGAAGCTCCTATGAAAGTTTCAGCAACCGCGGCCAATCATAGTATGCCATCCATGCCTCCACATCCTGCTCATCCTCTCGGTCACTATCATCAACTATTATACATGTCGACGCAAGCAACGGTGGCAGATATATTACAGCAAGTATCAGGTATGTCTACACAAATATTTTATATTATAAATACGCAAGCGGTTGATTAAAAATAATAATTAGTTAAAGTAAAAATATCCAGAAAATAAACAGACATTGAAAAAAATTTACTACATATACTATATTTCGATTTATTATGAATACTTATATAAAATTTAATATTTTTAAGGAACATGGCTCCTCTTGTTACTTCCGAATACGTATAAAGGTAACGAAGCAAGTTCCAATGGAAACAATCGCTCTCGTGAATTCTGGGAATCAGGAATGGCTTTAGTGGTAGACACACTTAGCGTGGCTGCTGGAAATACGGCGAAAGACAAACGAGCTAAAGAAGTATCGAACAGATCACAAGCTCGAGGTCCTATAATCAGAAAATCGCGTTTTAATTCTGGTACGTTTGTTTCATTAGAAGATAAGGATATCATTTGTATTTTTACATATTAATAATACAATAAGAGTAAGAAAAATCTTCTATTAAATAGAATTATAGATATAATACGTATTGCTTGAATTGAATAAGTATTTGTTAATATTGTAGTAATTACTTATATTTATATTGTTTAACAGACGGAACGCCGACAACGAGTAAAGCCTCGTCTAATAATGCACAAGCAAATCCAGCTAATACGACGAATCAACAATATTTAATACATTCGTCTCGTCCTAATACTCCTTTACCACCTCAACTTACAATCGCGCAACTCTTGGCGATTGCCGAGGACAGTGGTGTTTCGTTGTCTGAGCCATGCTTACATCTCATCTTACGTCAACGTAGTAAGGACTCTAAAGGTATCTAAATTCTTGTTTATCTTGTAGGCAATGTATATAACAAAATAGTGCTGCTCGCACTATCTCTATTGATCGTTTGAAGTTTAATGAGTACGAATGTTTTCATGGGTCACTACATAAGTTCATGTATTTGCTTGCAGAAGACGCGACGAAGCAGAACGACAGTGAACTGTTGAACTACAGAAGTATAGAAAGTTCGTTAGGCGTTTTTAGCGCCGGCGGTGGATTGGCGGTATTAGCGCGCCACTTGCCGCTGGTGTATCCGGATCCCGGCAGACCATCGTTTTTCGTCGAGAAGTCACCATCACCGGAGCAAACCGATGCGGACTGGGTAAAATTGGAAACCAATGATGACATTTACGAGGCCTTGGAAGAGGGTAGAACGAATTGTCCGCCAAAGGTGTCGGTTCCTGCCCCATACGTGCCACCGCATTCCCTCGCGGCTTTCGGCCTATTTCTCAGACTACCAGGCTATGCCGAAGTACTGCTGCGGGACAAGAAACGGGCACAATGTCTATTGCGGCTCGCTCTCGGCGTTTCTGACGACGGTGAAGGTGGCGAAGTACTGACCTCACCGTTGGCCGCCTCGTTACCAACCTTGCCGTTCCAAGTTCTAAAGCAATTGTTGGACGCTACGCCACCGACCACCGATGACGGTCTGCTTCTACGAGGAACGACTATAGAAGTAGGCGCTATGCTGCTGCTGTTGAACTGCCTAGCGATATTCACACATCAAACTGGACAGAACGATGGTTCAACCGAGCATAAGACGGGTCAGAGCAGCGGTGTCGGCGGTAGTAGTGGAGGACGTAGCGATGACAATTCACATCTGTACTGGGCAAAAGGTACCGGCTTTGGTACTGGGTCCACACAGCAGTCGTGGAATGTCGAACAGGCGTTACTTCGTCAACGATGCGAAGACGAGCATGTAACGGTATTGCTACAGGTTCTCGCCAGTTATATTGGCACATCGGAAAGCGGGCAACCACAGCAGGAGCTACCAGCTCCTTTCTCCGATTTATTGGCACGTTCTTGTCTATTGCCGGCGTTATCATCGTATCTGCGGAACGATTCCGTTCTAGATATGGCTAGGCACATACCTCTTTATCGCGCGGTTCTGCAACTACTTCGTGCCATGGCTCTCTCCAGTCAATTAGCACCGCTTTTGTTACCACGCGGCGGTAGATCCGGAGAACCGTCCGTGGTGTCTCTCTTATCGAGCATGAAAGTGTGCGTGGACACTTACGTGAATAAGATAAATCGCACGAGGGGCAATAAAACAAACATAAAAGTGGTGTCCAAGTATCCCGACGATACCGAGCAAGACGAAGGCTTGGCCACATTAATCCCCGATATACAGGAAAGTGCAACTATAGTGCAAAATGCTACATGTCGATTATCCGGTATCGGGGAAGAATTACCTGGGTCAAGTCCAACGGCGTCAGAATTACCATTGCGCTCAAATCTGGAGCACCGATATCTGGAAGTAATGAAAAATCTACAATTCGGTAAGTCCTTAAACCAATATAAAACTCGCTTATCTCCAAAAAAATATAGGAAAGACGTATTTCATAATTATATTAGACAACTTAACATTTTTCTTGAATTAAAAATTATTAAACCGAATGAGACAATGCCACAGCGGTCTAAGCTGGATCACAGGTGCTTCTAATCTAAATAATTGTGTGTGAATATATATACTACGAATGTAATTCTTCGATTGCGCGCCGAAATTTTTTCAGATTTGAAACGCAACACTAATAAATTACCGCAGTAATATCACGAGTTAAATTAACTAACAATTTAACAATTATTGATGCTGTTTACACATCTTATATCGATCTTACTAATGTTGAATAACCTATTAAAAACTATAAAATTTTTCACTGTGAAAAATATTACCTGATCGGTCCAGGGTTTGAAAAAAAATCCAAACGAAACGGATTTTTTTAGGTTTTTAATAGGTTTTATTCGATTTTTTTACATGCACATATATATCTGTATAAGAAGCATTCTATTTCTATGTCAAACCAATCCGATCAGACTCTGAGCCCATCTTTTATTCAATTCAGTTTTTGACAAAAAATAATTTCATCACGTGTGATGTTCGTTACGTACCTATAGTTTTTTCATAAATTTGCTCAAAAAAATAAAAGTTCAATTTTTTATACAATTAATATTTACTACAATTAATATTTAAAGGATGAAAATTAAAACTAAAAATAAATTAAATTAAACAATTTTTTTTAATTTTCTAAAAATCAAGAAAAAAACATGAAATTTCAAAATATTTGTTATTCGTGATAGATTTTTGTGAATTTAAAAAAAAAATAGCATTTTTGAAAAATCAAATTTGGTAATTGCAAAATTTGTTATCTTGTCCTGCATCTTTGGCATCGATTTTTTCGAACGATGTTTTTCAACCTTTGGGCTTGCGTGGTCGAAATTACGAAATCGACTTAGAGTAGAAAAAGCTACGAAGTAATAAAAGTTTACCGTTTTTTATGATCTAATGATAATATAAATTTTGATTACATTTTTATTCAAAACAAATTTAAAAGTTCTATTATGTGTCTTTTTTCTTGTTTTATTTATAATTTATTTATAATATTAAATTATTTTTATTCATATTAATTTATATTAGATGATTTGTACTATATTATTAAATTTTAATTAGACTTTTTGTATTTTAAAGTGGGTTTTTTTAGTAGGTCCAACCAAAAATAAAATCTGCTGAGTTTTTTTTGGATTGAACCCACCTTGTCAAACCCTGCCTTGGCCGGGAGTCGAATCCGGATCTCGGCATTCCGTGCGCAATTGAATTACATTTGTACTATATAAATTCACACAATTATTTAGAAGCACCCGTAATCCAGCTTATTGTTAAACTGCTGGGACATTGTCTCATTCGGTTTGAAATTTAGCTGTCCAATAAGAATTGATAAAAATTATTAAATATCACTGAAGCAGCCTTTTTCTATACCTCGGTTAAATATTACAATATGCTCCCTCCCCCCTTCCGTTGAAGACTCTTCCTCTCTAACTTCTTTTCTCTCGGACTCTGCAGGTTTTCATTGCATCTCACGTCTTTGATTTAGGATATCGATCGTTTTTCACTTTTTGCGAATTCTTTGATGTCCGTGCGAATGCAAATTTAGTATATAATTTAACTTAAATGTAAATGCAAATGTTGTCAATGATTTTTATCGTTATGTTTCTATGTTTCTTTGTTCCCGATGTAATTACTCTGTTATAATATCTAGTTACTTTCTCTGGCTGTAACAGCAGTTTGCTGATGCCTTGCTATTTGCTATGTGTACATGCATTGCAATAAAGAATATAAATTAAAAAAAAGAATGTTAAACCCGATTTTTTAAATAGTTTATATAATACATACAATTTACATACATATATTTCTTTTGAAAGTCTTAAAATTTCATTTAAAAAACTTTATGTAATTATAAATTTGAATTTATGAGAATGCAAAACTATAATTATCAAAAAATTTCATATAATTTTCAAAATATGTAAAAAATTTTAGAATTAATGAATAATATTAGTAATATTAATACTGATAATTAATACTTATATTGGCACCATAGACACCTACGAAATGATTACCGAGAATCCAGATGGTGGAGGCTACAAATTTACCGTCTCGTATCATTTTGAATCAAATATGAGGGCTGCCGGCGAAAGAAGCCATCCAACACGAGTGAAACGATTAGCTCAGGAAGCCGTTACGCTCTCGACAGCACTACCTCTATCTTATAGTAGTAGTGTGTTTGTGAGATGCGACGCGGATAGATTGGATATTATGAAGGTATATCATCTTTTATATAATGTTTGACTTAAATCCTGCTGCCTCGTTCGGCTCTATTCATCAATTTTCATTTGTAACACATGATAATTTCATAAATATGACTTTGAATATCATAGAAGAAATGGACAAAACAGCAGGATTAATTAGTCATCTAACAATTATTTAATCCTTAAGCACTGGAATGCATTTTGTAACGTTAAATCAAAATGTACATAGCATCATTCTAATTATTATTATGTCGAATATTAAAGACTAATATAAGTAATAACTCTTACATTTATTGAAATTGTAGCACGAAGATATCTGATCTTTATTTTGAAGATGTCTAATCTTGTGTAAATTTAATTTTTTAATTAGTAATTTTAAATTATGATAAAAATATAAAATGTAATTCTTTTTGCTGTTACAATTTCAATTTCAATAACTCATGCGCGAAAGAATATCTTGTTTTTCTTTCGATATTCTGACGATGCTTAAGGATTAAATTCAGTAATTCAAGTCTCTCGCATGTACGCTATAATGTATAACACGATGTCTATAATTGTTAAAGGTACTCATAACGGGGCCAGCAGAAACGCCGTACGCAAACGGTTGTTTTGAGTTTGACGTGTACTTCCCTCCTGATTATCCTAATAGCCCGATGTTAATAAATCTAGAGACGACCGGCCGTCACACCGTGCGCTTCAATCCGAATTTATATAATGATGGAAAGGTCTGTCTCAGCGTACTGAACACTTGGCACGGCCGACCTGAGGAAAAGTGGAACGCACACACGAGTAGCTTCCTTCAGGTAAGTTCTTGAAGTTTGGTCAATTTTGTCATAATTATTTGTTAAGATTTAGCGATCGAGGCTACTTGATATCGCGCTTAAATAGATCTCAAGAACTTAAACAATTCAGCGAAAAGAAGAACACGTTAATTACACACTGTTATAACTTTGTTGAAAACAGGTTCTAGTATCGATACAGTCATTAATCTTAGTGTCTGAACCATATTTCAACGAGCCTGGATACGAACGGTCACGGGGTACGTCAAGCGGTGCTCAATCTAGTCAAGAGTACAATGCGAATATTTGTCAGGCTACCGCCAAGTGGGCGATGCTTGATCAAATACGTAATCCCTGTCCATGCTTTAAGGAGGTGCGTTAAACATGCAACTGGGTTTATGGTTGAAATATATAATTTTTTCAATAATCAGTATTTTATTCCAAAATAAAAATCAGATAGAAATGATAATTACTAAAACACACCTGTATAGCACAGATCATTCCAGTATCGTTGCAATGTTCCAGCAATTTTGCAGTAACATTGTAAATATTGCAACTGCATTGTTACAAGCTTCTGTGCTGTATGGGAATATATGTCATGTTTACAATACAACAAAATTGTTTTATTAATACAATATTCTGTTATGTTGAAAACAATAATTGTTATTATTTATAATTTATTAGATATATAGGAATAGATTTGTAAAAACTACCTGCGAAATAAAGATGTCTCGATGATTATATACGTTCTTAAAGCAAATTGTTCTCGCAAATAAAAAGGTTCTAATCATTTTGCGACAGGTCATACATACCCACTTTTGGATAAAAAGGCACGAGATCGTTGCACAATTGGAAGGATGGATAAGAGATATGGAAATGCATGGATCGGATCGTAGATCAGGCCGTACAATTTCTCTTAATGCGTTGTCTTTAAGGGTAAGTGTTATTTTGATAAAAAAAAAAAGGTGTTTCAAGATTTTCGACTTGTACTTACCGTATATGCTTTTCTCTTGTATATTTACAGAGACATTATAGATTATTGAGGGAAGAACTGAACAAACTGCCAACACCCAAAGGATTGGAAGACTTGGCCGAACCACTTGCGTCGCCAGGCTCGCCCATCGAACTATCCGGGACCCCAGGCACAACACCGAATACGCCATCGATGGCATCCGCGACTGCCACGGTGGCTACTCCTGTCGTCGCTAATAATATGGTTCCGATCAGTAATAGCAGCACGAGTAGCCATGTGCATCACGACATCGACACGGACGTCGAGATGGAGAAGATGGTTTCGAAAATGTGTGAATAGCTAAAGGATGTTAATAGACATTGTTGGACATTTTGAAAAGAGTCTATTGTTTGTGTTATGAGATGAACAAATGGACATTGAACATGAACAGATGACACAATGGACTGATATTAAGTGATTATCCTGTCCAGCGGCCGAATTATTGATGTTTAATCAAGGCGTTAGAAAAAAAAGCAGTAACGACTTTCGGCCGAATATATAATAATTATGCTGAGGCAATTATACAATGATGGATGATGATAATAAGACATAGGTAGAAAAATATAAGGTGTGGTAGAGTGAGAAAGACAAGTAAGAATTTACAATATACAGAGAAAATGTGAAGAGAAAGAGAGAGAGAGAGAGAGAGAGAGAGAGAGAGAGAGAGAGAGAGAGAGAGAGAGAGAGAGAGAAAGAGAGAGAGAGAGAGAGAGTGAGACAGAAAGCGAGAGAATGAGTGTGCATGGGTGAGAATAAGCGAGAGAGTGAAAGAACGAGAGAAAGAGAGAACGAAACAGATAGAGGCAAAGAATAAGTAGCGCGAATGTAACAAACTCGTGCGTAGTAGATACTTTTTATAGCCGCTGCTATAGTACGTGTACGCTGCATTCTACTACTTCATACTACCATAAGTACCACAACTGTTATTCGATATTTATTATACATGTTCCTCGTTTATGTAGCGTAACTCTGAATTAGCTGCACTTTCATGCGAATATAATCTTGGACATTACGTTTACCGTCCTCTCCTTGTCGCTCGTGTCTTCCGAGAGCGACGCGGTCGCAACTCCGCTATCAATGCCCGTGTACAGACGTACGTTCTCGTTTTAACGACATTTTACTTTATCAATAATTATAATATTTGTTTCTCTTTTATATATGCATATGTACGGTGTGTATATGTACAATTCTGTCGCTGACGCGTCGTTCTCTTCATTTTAAATGTATTTCTCTATTAGGATGTAGTATGATTATACTTTATCAAGCGATTTATTACGTAGATCCGTTTTTAGTAAACATCTCTTCAGGGATGCACGATGCAATCATCGAGCATTACATGGCTCGTTACCAAAAGCTGCGGGCGGCAAAGAAGAGACAATATAAAGCACTACGTCGGCAGAAGTCAGCTCGTGACAGGTGCAACTAATTACGAGTTATTGATGTAGCGGGTATCCCTGCGCGCAATGCGATCGAATCTAAATAACAACTGTCATCTGAACGAGACGACGATCTAGGTACATCGTTAGATAACGTTTAATATAATAGTACGTGTTCTATGTCGATTGAATGAACAATTGGAAAAAAATATGGTATTCTGGAAACAGAAAAAAAATCACGGAAGATCAGGTGGTACGTTTCTCGCATAAATGAGAATTGCTCTTTGTAATTGTAACAGCTACTTAGTACACGTAAATTTCATATGAATCGACCATATGAACGAATAAAGTCACATTGTTTTGAGATAGTCTCTCCCTGTTTTTCGTTCCGGGCTTATTTTTACCAGCTACAACTTGGAATTACATCCCAGACAAGGACAAGAAAATATGTGTAATTGAATATTCTTTATACTGTAATATAATAATGTTCCTATTATTTAATATATTTTATATGATTTTACTTTTTCAAAACATAAAGAAAAATGTAAAAAATAATACTTTAGGAATTCAAGATATCTTTGAAAAATAATACTTTAGGAATTCAAGATATCTTTGAAAAATAATACTTTAAATATTTATATTATATCATATTTTTATGTCGTTGTGCTCGATACTTGGCATAACATATTTGTACAACAATGTGTATAATTTTACATTTTTTAAAAATATTTGAAATTGATACTTTGAAGAGAGATGACACTTTAATAATATTTATACATTTTTAGAAGAGAAATATCTTGAAATATTTATGATATATTTATATATTTAATTTTATAGTTTGGAAATAAAAAATACTTTAAAAAGTACTTTAAATACTTCAAAATAGTATAATACTTTAAAAAGTTTGTGTTGTTCTAAAATGTTTTAAAATATATTATAATTATGTTTATGTTATTATATTAAATTTTACGCAAATTTTTTTTTAGACAACTGAAGTAGGTGATTAGGCGAAAGCATTAGAATACATACTTTTTATTATTTTTGAAAAAGCAGTGTTACTGAGAAAATTAAATACCACTTTAAATTTCGCGCTCTCTAAGTGACTACGATTCATAAATCGAACCGAGATAGATGGCGGATTTGAATCTCGAGTGCTAACTTCTTGAAAGACGAGGTATGCGATAATACGACGTGATAAAAAGACTGAAATTTTTTTATATTGCAAACGGTATGTTGAAATTTTATATTCGATTTTTCCGCAGAGTCTTCCTATGTATGTTAAATTTTGTATTTATAAATGTACGTGCAACATGATTGATTTACGCGCGTCTAAAAAATAGATCTCAAATATCTATCAATTCGCAAATAAAACACAGTCCTCGGTTATATTCTGATGATTTATACCGATGAACGAGAGTGCGGGAAGGTATATCTCTCACCGAGACTATCAGGGATTTCGAAAAAAAAATACAATTTTTTCCTAATGCAGCGCTCAGCGCAAATAAGTGGCGATGGAATGGGGTGGAAAATGGACACTTGGAGCAAACCGCAAATTAACACACAGGTCAGCGCAGCTGGAGTACTTTTCGAGGAATCACGCATTACCATCCATGGATATTGTTAAGTGCGTTGCATTGGTAATTCGCAAACTAACAGTAACATTAATTAAAAAAAAATACATCAATATTATAATTTTCTTTTCAATAATATAATCCGGGATAACATTGCAATCTTCCAAAATATTGCAGCATTTTTACAATTTGTTCCGTTCCAGCAATAATATTGCAATAGCATTTTGTAGACGTTACTGCAAACTTCTGTGGTGTATGGGATATCGTTTATAACTATTCAGTGGGAAATTATAATATTAATATATATATATATATATATATATATACATATTTATT